CTCTCTCTCTCTCTCTCTCTCTCTCTCTCTCTCTCTCTCTCTCTCTCTCTCTCTCTCTCTCTCTCTCTCTCTCTCTCTCTCCCTAAAATGAAAAACCAGTAAAATAAATCCCTAAACAAACAGTAAAATAAAAAAATAAAATAAATGGTGTGCGCACCCGGCACACCTGCGCCCCGCCAGCGCGCACTCCCCAGCGCACCAGCGCGCAGCGCACTGCGCACCCGGGTGCACGGCGCGCGCAGGTGCACGTGCTCCTCGGGTCCGCGCCCCGCGCAGCGCACAGGGTCTGTGCGCCGCAAGTATGGTTTTAATTAAAAGAAAGGCTAATTCTTTAAAGCCTTAACAATTCAAATACCTGTCGAATCTGGAGAGGACGGCCTTTCAGGCCGTTTTTTTTTTTGTCATTAATGACTCATTATAGTATATTACAAGGAACCCTGTAGCAGCCACATCCATGGTCAAGCCTCCAACGAGGGAACATGCGGGAGATGCACCCACCAGCAGGTGCGGTACCTGCTGCAGCAGGTGGGCGATACCGGCCAGGGGTCAGCCGGTAGCATCAGGACCGAGCTTAGCTTCTTCGATGGGCCAGTCACTGTGCCTCCCCTCCGGTCCCCTCCTCCTGTGAACATCAGCAGTCTCTGCTCAATGCCACTCGGGGGGCCCAACGCCATATCTCTAGGTGGCGGGCACCAAGCTTGCCCAGGAAGGTAAATGACGCAAATGGGGATTGAACCCGAGACCTCCTGAATGCCACTTGCGTGCCTTACACCAACTGAGCTAGGCCGCTGGATTCGTCGGAGTTTCACCGACTCATCAGAAGGCTATATATAGGGAAAAAAAAATCAGGAAAAAAAAAACAAAAAAAAAGATCACGGACTGGTGACGCAAAATTTGGCAATGAATCCAATGATGCCACTTCGCAGTTGACAATTGACAATTGACAACCTCCTCCATATTCCCGGAGGAGGCCTTGCACTCCAAATTGATAGCCATGTAAGGACACTTCAAAAAGATTTCAGAAAGCCTAGCACGCCAAATCGATAATCATTTAAGAAATTTTAAGTGTGCCATTATTATTATTATTATTATTATTAATTGATTATTCAGTTTCCGAGTAACAATCATCAGTGTTTGTTAGGCTACAGCTTGGGGGGGGGAAAAAAAGAAAAAAAAAGACGGTGCAGCTTGAGTTCTGGTGTTCAAACTTCAAACGGAAAAAAACTTCAAAAAAGTTGAAAAAGTTAAAAAAACGTTTTTAACGGACTGAAGGCATCCTTCGCAAGGTGGAAATTAACAGCCAACAGTGCCCAACAGTGCCCAGCACAATGAATAACAGATTCTTAAAAAAAAACAAAAAAAAACAGATGCAAGGTCCCATACTGATACAAATTGTCGCCTACAAACAAACAAACAAAGGAACCAAAAAAAAAAGAAAAAAGAAGGATGAAGCCATCTTGATCTCTTCCCACACTCTCTCCTCTTATGCGAAGAGGACCACCATTCACACCAGTCTGGCCTTTCTTCCACCTTTCGTCTCCAAGCCTGCAATGCTCGCATACATGACTCCTCACTTCGTCAATGTAGCCTGCACCACCAATTGGTCCCCTTTGCTCTCACACCCTTGCTCTCCACTTCGTTGCAGTCTGTTTCCACTCCGTTGCTGTCTGTTTCCACTTCTTTGCTGTCTCTTTCCACTTCGTTGTTGTCTTTCACTCTTACACATTAAATGCTATCTTTCTGCTCTCACCCTAGTGCTGGATCCGCACTAGTCCATCGTCCTCTCCTGTACCCCTCCTGTCTTCCTTCCCTCCCTCCCCTCCCTCCC